AACTAAAACACGCACATCTGTATTTTCCAAATAAATCACTGAAAACAGAACAGATTTTCATCAGGTCCTCGTTAAAAAGATACAAACATATTTATACACGATTGCTGTTTAAATTAATTTATGTACCTACATATTAGATACATTAAATGGGTTTAGCAGCTGGTCTTTATATTTAATTATATCAGAATCAGAATCAGAAATACTTTAATAATCCCAGAGGGAAATTACTTTTGTTACATGCTCTAGTTACAGTTTTAGATGATATATACACACATCCAACTATATATATAGGTTTCTAGATAATTGCAGAGACAAGCTCACCCCAATAAAGACATAAAAACGTGTTCTTAAAAGAGCATGAATTCTGTATTTGTTCTTTTTAATTTTAGTATATTGCTGTGAAAATTAGTTGCTTTCTTAACCACCATTAGGGACTTCCACATTGTATGAGTAAATATCCTAAATATTCTCTTAGCACTTCACTATTAAGTAGGCTGTGATGACGATTGTTAAAATACCATGCATGTAGAAGAAGCATAAACTGATTCAAAGACTGGGGAAGGTTGGATTGACCTTCTCTCATCCATCAGGATAGCAAATTTTCCCAGATTTGTAAGTGTAAGAGTAAATAGGTGTGTGTATATCAAATTTGTACACCTATTTTTTCATGTAAGTATTTGTGTGTACATTGAGCACAAATTTGCAAATACTCAGAGTTACATACAGATAATTTCTTGTGAGAAAATGCAAACCTCTCTCTTATAGAGGCAATGATATGAGATCAAATTCTGTGTATTCTGTGCATCCTTTGACAGGAATTTGTTTATGTAAAAAAAAAAAAAAAAGCACAACAGAGCTTTAAATCTGGGAAGAACATTAATTATTAATGATGGAGGACAGTGCTAATATATGTGCGGGTCAGATAGGCATATCATTATTTAGTGGAACAATTCACTCTCCAATTATATATTTAAAAAGATGCTTACTGTATCTTTAATGCGGTCCTTTGCCAAAACTCCCTAGTTTATTTTAATGGTCACTCTGCAACTATCCAGAAGTCTTTGACTCAACATCTTTCCAACAGGATTCTGAACAACCCAAATTGCTTTCTGACACTCGTAAACTGACAACTTGTTCTGGCAAATAAAGACAAGGTGCAAAGAGAGCATTTTATTTGTGGACAGTCTGTAACTTTCTGACAGCTAGAGCTTTAGCAGTTAATTTCCAGTGGGGGTAAAGTCTGCTCTGTTAGTGGCAGCTTGCTTGTTATTCTGATGAAGCATGTAGCAAAAAGTAGGAAAAGCTTCCTCATCTTCATTAAGAATGACTCAGCTGCTTTTTCTGTCTGTCAGTATTTCCAAAGCTGATGATGTTCCATGGGTTCAGCAAGGGGAATAATTGAGCTCTTGCATTGAATGCTTAGGACTAAGGCTGCTATTGCTTGAATTAAACTATGAAAGAGAAACAGGAGATATTTAGCATCTGGGGCCTGCAAACCCCAGAATATACAGAAGGACATTGAAGAGATATTCAGGAAAGTCAGAAAATAAGCAAATAACCTGACAAATATAGTAGGGTTAAAATTAATTTCTACTGCATCCCAAAGTATAAATACTAATTTCTGGAAGAAACTGAACAACAAGCAATTATGATCACAAAACACAAACAAAGACAGAAAAAGAAATAAAAACAACAAACGGTCAGTTCAGGTGTTTTATAAATTAAGTCAATCAGGAAATTGTCTGTATACCAAACTATTGTTGTTCCCTACTTCAAAAATCATTTTAGATTTTAAAATAGAAAAAATTTCATTTTTTTTAAATTATAAAATTTAATGTATAACATGGATGCATAAACACCTGATTATATTTCAGTGTTAAATTCTGTTTAAAGTAACAGATTATAATTAAAATTGTATCCAGACATTTACTGGTTGATGATATTTCTTTATTCTGACCCTGCTGAGTTTTAATTGGTTACCCCTGCTATAAGGATTGGGGATGATGAACCTGCAGTTACAGGATTTAAAGGCTTTTGTTTGGTTTTTGTATTTAGCTAAAAATAAGCCCAAACAGAAATTTGAATGCCACACATTTATTCAGTGCTTTCATATTGCTGAGAATGCAACAATAACAAAATAAAAATATCATAATGTACAGATAGACTGGTTCCTTTGAGCAGCTCTTTTGCAATAACTCAGAAACATCAGCAACATTAATAACAAATAAAAACATGAAAAAAAAGGAGATGTTTTGCTTTTTTTTAAACCAGCAAAGAACACACCATTTAAACACTTGCTTTTGTCAAACTTATTGCATTACAATACAAATTTTCAAGGCTACCCACACTCTGTTGCTTTTTTTTGGTTGAAAAAGCTCCGTATGTCTGAACACTTTTTCGTTGGCATTTTTTTTTTTTTAAAGCAACCCGTCTACTCCTTTTTTATTCGAAATAAAACCTGAAGTAACTGCTGGTTAATATTAATGAGTGCTACTGTGCGTCGTCTCTCCTCCAATCAAGTAGCTACTGATGACGCGGTGAATAGCGACAGCCAATCATGTTCTATCATACAGTGACAGACGTGGAGCTATGGACATAGGAGCCAATAATATATCAGTAGGCGGGACTCAGGAGCAGCGGAATAGCGAGAGATAAACACTGACTGAAAACTCTCTGAGCACACAAAGCTGGGCACGTCCTGAGGTTACTGGTGTTGGCTAAAGTAAATGAGTCAAACACAAATGTACCAATTATTGGTGGGGACTGTCCCCACCCATTTCAAAGTTGGTGGGGACATGTCCACACCAGTCCTTCAGAAAGTTATGCCAGTGATTTTATCCACTATACCTTTTATTTAGAAAGCATGGATGTTTAAATATATGCATCTATTTGTTAGGAATGGCTGTAGGAAAGTTTAGTTTGTCTCATCTTTGGGTTGACCCTGAGGTTCTGGCACCTATCCACTTTGGGCCACCCCTCAGCAGTGATGGGAAACATTAGTAACAGCGTTACCTTTTTTTAGTAACGAGTAATCTAACTAATTACTTTGACTGTAACTATAACGCAGTTACCATTGCAGACACCCCGTTACTGCACATTACTCAGGTCGCACAATTAACCATTTTTTCATGATAGGACTCGTGCGCGCCTTGTCATGAGAGAAGGGAGGATGAGAATGGCTGATGTATAGTGAGATTATGTCTGTCAGTTGGGTAGGTGGGTGTTTCCGCTGGTGGGTGTTAACATACAGCACACACAGAGAGATGGAGAGTAAGGATGACTCCAGCAGATGGAAACACCGGTGTTACGTCGAGCTGTGTTTCCCCATCAGATACGGTTTCCCCTGCATCTCCGCACATTACAGGCGGCAGGATTCACCGCGCAAGCGACAGGAAACGCGCATGCTCGCTAAAGGCGCGCAACAGTCGCCCTGTGCTTGCGCCACAGAGGAACTACAGAGAGTGTGAAGGATCACATGTTAGCCTATATGGAGAAAGGGAGAAATCTGGATGGATGGATGGATGGATGGACGGACGGACGGACGGACGGATGGATGGATGGACTTCAGATACTCTTCCCCCCATGTTAAGCAAGGGGAACGCTATCTGACGGGGGTTTATAGGCCCTTCAGATAGCGTTCCCCCCTGATGTCATTTACGTTGAGTTGCAATAAATGCAAAACTGTCTGCAGGTTCTTGTCTTTGTCGTCCGCTCTATTCATCTGGCTTTAGAAACACACGGCGAGAAGGTGGGGGCTGGGTGCTGAGGGTTACGGGGTCCAGAAACGCAAAAGTAATGCAATAGTTACTTTTACTAGTAACTAGTTACTTTTATTGTGGAGTAACTCAGTTAGTAGTCACTTTTTGGGTGAAGTAACTAGTAACTATAACTAATTACTTTTTTTAAAGTAATGCGCCCAACACTGCCCCTCAGTGTGCATTGGTTATTGCCTGGCCACCCTTATACAGTGATGGGAGTAACGGCGTTGAAAGTAGCGGCGTTACTAACGCCGCTACCTTTTCTTAGTAACGAGTAATCAAAATGATTACTCTTACTGTAACTATAACGCAGTTACAATTGCTGACACCCCGTTACTGCACGTTACTCAGGTCGCACAATTAACCTTTTTTCATGATAGGACTCATGCGCGCGTCATGAGGGAGGGGAGGATGGAGAGTGAGGAGGACTCCAGCGGCAAAACAGCGTTTTCCAGATGGAAATACTGGTGTAACGTCGAGCTGCGTTTCTCCATCAGATACAGTTTCCCCTGCATCTCCGCACAGCGCGGCGGCAGGATTCACCGTGCAAGCAACAAGAAAAGCGCATGCTCGCTAAAGGTGCGTAACAGCCGCCCTGTGCTCGCGCCACAGGAGAACTACAGAGAGCGTGAAGGATCATTAGCCTATATGGAAAAAAGGGAGAAATATGGATGGATGGATGGATGGATGGACGGATGGATGGATGGATGGATGGATGGATGGATGGATGGATGGATGGATGGATAGATAGATAGATAGATAGATAGATAGATAGATAGATAGATAGATAGATAGATAGATAGATAGATAGATAGATAGATAGATAGATAGATAGATAGATAGATAGATAGATAGATAGATAGATAGATAGATAGATAGAGCTACGTTGCAGTACCTATAACAACCCAAACACAGGATTTCAGAATTAGACATCCACAGTTATTAATTTCATACACACGCAAAAGTAACGCAATAGTTACTTTTACTAGTAACTAGTTACTTTTATTGTGGAGTAACTCAGTTACTAACTCAATTACTTTTTGGGAGAAGTAACTATAACTAATAACTTTTTCAAAGTAACGTGCCCTACACTGCCCTTATAAAAATTTCCTGGGTACGCCTCTGACAGTGTCATACTTCTACTTAAGTAAAAAAAAAATGTGTGTACTTTTGACACCACAGGGCCCCAGTGGTAAATTTGATCTAGAACCGCCACTGGTCCTGCAGGCAACCATCAGAGAGCGGAAGAGGCGATCCTGGCCCCAACCTACTCATTAGTGCATCAGTATTCAGCAGGGACCTGCCCAAACCAAACACACTCAGCTCCATTCACTCTGCATGGCACCATGACCGAAGCGGACTTATACATTCTCTACAAAGGTGTTTATGTACCCAAGGCGGTACACACACCGGAGAGCCTCGAATACTACGAGGAGTTTACGTTTCGCCCTGACGACGTTATCATCGTGACCTATCCAAAGTCAGGTAAGGGGTCCCGATGCGTCCGAAGCGCGAGTGGAGGGGGACAGTTTGCGCTTTTTTCCTGCGCCAAACTGAAAAAGACGCACAGCTAATAATGTGTTTTAGTAGAATAATTAATACAAAATCTACAAAGAAGTGGACTTTCCACTGCAGCCCAGGGTTATCTTAACGTAGCCGGAGGTGAGGTTTCACCATCGCAGAGCAGCTGAAGGCGTTGAGAAACACTTTGTGTAGAAAGTCACTCAGGCACTGCATTCAAACACAAATTACCTACTTTAATGCTTGCTACTTTGTCATGAAACCTAAACTTTTTAAATGCGCTAAAACATGAAATAAGTGTGAAAGAGTGTGAAAAAAATAAGTGTACTGTTTTTTCCCTTGAAATAAATAAGAAAATATATTTTTCATAAACTTGGAAGGTAATCTTTTATATCAGTTCTGTTTTTGACCCTCTTCTTTAGAGATGTATTTTCATTTGTTCTCATTGTTGATTTTAAAATGATCACCCCATAAATTCTCAATCAGATTAAAATCCAGGTTTTGACTAGGCCACTGCAAAATATATATTTTTCTTTGAGATATTCAATTTTTATTTATATTCTTTTTGTTTGTTTATTTTGGAACATTTAAAAAAATGCTGAAACCCATAACAATACCGGCATCAGGCGGGGGCCGATTCCAGCAGTAAAATGGTGGTATCAGCGGGTACCAACAAAAAGGGCACCGATACCATTTTGAGAGCCAAAATTTTATTCAACTGTTGTCACTCATTCCAGCTAGGCAATGACGTAAATATCGGTACGCAGAGACAGCAGTTGCTTAGGGGCCCAGGACCTCCTAGGGGCCCCATCACTGACACCTGGTAGGCCCCCTACGCAATTGTCGACTAGGACGTCTCTTTGCAGATGTAATGGTGCAAAAAATGCCTTTTAAACCCACCTGATACTAAAGAGACTGACCGCACCGGACCGTATTTATACCGCAACATATGCCAGATTTCAACACGATGGTGAAATCTGGTATTTAAACACAACACCAATAGCAAAGTGGTACTTTTAATTACTATGTTAATAACTGTGTATAGTTCATTAGATGGTTTGTAAAAATGACACTCATATAATAACTTTCAAACCGCAATAAAGATCTTAAAAGAACAATGTATTTTATTTTTTACACTACGACTTGGAATTATGGGTAATCCAGTGCGTCAATTATAACCATAACCGTTACTTATAATGTGTTAGCGACGATGGATACCCAAAAAGAGGTACTTAAGCAGATTCCAGAAAAAAAAAGCAAAGAGCTGCTCGAAGAATGGAAAAAACCTCCCAAAATAAACACGTTCTTTCAAAGAACCAAAGATGGAAGGACGACGTTGCTGCTACAGTCAGTAAAGATTGTGACCAGAAGATGAATTGAGAGCGTTGGTGAGGGTTACATTGAGCTTCACAGCCCCCCTTGGCTGTACTTCATATGGGGCCCACCCAGATAATGTTCTTTGCAGGCCTAATGTTGTGTTGTTACAGCATTCCAAGTAGGCAATAAAAAGTTCTACTGGATTCACTTTGTTTTAGTCTTTGTCCTGCTTCACAAAGGGAGGCAGCAGCTTGACAAAGCCATGATGGCAACTATTTTACCTCCAAGTAGTATGCAGTTCTTCATATATACACACACGTCAATTTCAAACAGATGGTATTGGCATGGTATTGGCCGATAATGCACAGCCAGGTATCAGGAATTGGTATCGGGGCCAAAAAATGGCAACACTAATTTAAACCTGAGGTGACTTTAGAATAAAATGTATGATTCTTGCAATAAGGGCAAGTCCTTCAGGTTCTTGAAAAGTGGACGCAGATGGCAAACACTTTAAATACTCGAGTTGCCCTTCTAAATCCTTAGAAATATCTGTCTAACCCTCTAAAAAGAGGTCAATGTTTTAAGTCTATTCTTGCTTTTTGAAATAATTTTCCGTACCTCATGTTCACAGAAAAATTCTGTTTAAAAAGGGACTAGCAATCTAAGCATAAAATCCAATATGAATAAAAAATCTAAATACATTACCCTGAATCATCTTTTTTTAGCTGCGTTATTAACTTGTGTTGCTAAGGCTGGTCACTGTTTGGACATCTGTGGTGTGGCTTTTATTCCCAGATCTAGTTTCCACTGTATAAAATTCAACATGATTCAGGGGGACAAGGATTTAGTTCTTTCTTAGCTGTCAATAGTTTTTTCCCTTGGGTTTTCTCATGTTTTCCCACTGGTCATTCTAATTGTTCCATTTCTTTCCCTCTCCTTTGCTCTACTCTTTTGTATCCTAATCTGTCTGTAAGATCCCCCTGTATTCAACCGGAGATTGAAAACAGAGGGGATTTACAGAGAGCATTTCTTTTTAATGGTAAAGTTGTTACCAATCCTTTTTTTTGTTTGCCACTCCTACACTCTAAAAGGTTTGAGTCATGTTTCTGAAACTATGATGAAATCAGAATTGCGTGTATTTTGACTACCCACGGCTGCCACAACCGCAGTCTACATGGGCATTTTTCATTGTGAGAAGGCTGAACTTCCAGTCAGTTTCCTCCTTGTTTTAATGATTTATTTGCCCTCACTTCTCTATTTCTCACCCCTCCTTGACTCCTTACACCATTCGCTAATTGGCCTTTCTGCCCTAAGTCCAGCCTCCTGTCATGTGCTTGCCTGAAGTTCATTTCATGCTGAGAAAATACTGATGTGTATCAATGCAGAAGTTACTTTTTTTTCTCGATAATTCAGTGTTGTTTCTCTGGACAGAGCTTTATATGTTTGCTAGAGAAGCAGCTTCTCTGACTGTTGGCTGTTAGACTCATGACACTGTTAAGGTTCTGTCTTTTGGTCACTAAGATACAGAAAAGGAAAAGACAAGAGAAAACTGACAACTTCCGTTAGCGATATTACTGTAAACACCCTTTTTATCTCTTTTTGTGTAAACTGAGACTTAAAGCAGGGGTTTCTAAAGTGAGGGTCTGGATCTTCTCGGAGGACACAAGCGACCAAACTGGGGACAAATGTTTTTCACAATAAATGTGATACAATCTCTATGTAGAGAGGATGGACTTAGGTTTCAGCTCTAAAAAACCTACAATGCAGCGATAGAGTTGATTCCTTCCTGCTATGATTTAAATCCCCGACCCCCCTGCAGGGGACAAAACATCTCGCCTGGGAAGCCAAGCCAACAATTGTCCCTAACGACCCCCCTTTCAGAGGCATAGCTCAGTATCGGGTATTGCAGGCTTACAAAGACCACAAAACGACTCCCCATTCCTAAAGGGCGGGCCCGTTCTTCTGGTTCAACTTGCATGTTTTCTAAGCCAAAAAAATTCCTTTATAAAAGTAGATTTTTCCGTTCTTGAGATTGACAGGTGTCCCAGCATGCACTGCAGTAACAGCAGCTTCCAGTGGAGCGCTCACAGAGGTCAGGGTATTAGGTTAAATGTTCACTTTTCTGTTGCTGTTGTTCTACAAAAGTGTGTTTTAAGATCATCTGAGGGGAGAACATTATACTTTTAAGTTTCACTATATGGCCCATATATTGATTTATTGCGTAATTGAACAAAAAAAGTTTCGATGTTGAGAGGACCAGAGCAACCAGTGGACCTTGGAGGCTAATGGCAGCCAGGGCTAACGTTAGCCTGTCTGAAGCAGCCCTCTCACAGGTGTGTGTGAAGGACCGCTGGCTATGATGGAGATTTGTTTTGCAAATCGTTCATTTTATTTTTATATCTGACTGTGTAAAGGGCTGGTTATCCGCCCGCAGCAGTATGTCGCAGTGAGCTTGTCGCAGATATTTGGATTTATGCCCAATATTGAGGTGTGGTCTGTGCTATGTTATTCCAAGCCACAACGCAAGAGGGACAATCACGAACTAGCTGTGGGTCTAGATACGGCCGAAGCGGTGAGGAAGTGGGGGCAAGTTTGGGACATGTGGTCCAAAAAGAGCGGGATCCAGGTGAAAAAGGGGTCTTAGCGTTATTGTGCACCTCGCTCTTTTCGTTTTCCACAATGGCTGTCATACAATCAAAACAAGCTGGTAAGGTACCAAACACGCAATATGCATAGTGTAGAGCGGATGTAGATTTGACCAATCAGAGGCCTCCTGTCTGCGGTCACCTACAATTTTGGAGAGGTGCAGCAGAGTGTCTGTGTAGGGGTAGGGGCACATTTGCGTTCATTGTGACACACACGCAGACGACCTGGTTTCTGTCATGAAACGGTGTTTGTATGGAGGACCCAAACGCAGAGACCAGTAGGCAGAGGTGAATTAAAGTGGTTTTATTAAAGTTCACAGATCCAGGAGCAGGAATCAGAGTCCAAAAGAAAACAGGAAACAAACCTGAACCAAGGAGACATCAGTGGTAAATCCAAACTAGGAGCCAGGGAGAGACGAGGTACACAGACAGAAGTTAGACAGGATGTTTGACGAGGATCCAGCAAACAGGAACTGAACAGGGAGGGCTTTTAAAGGGGACAGAGACAGAGAGAGCTGACAAGGAAATTGGCAACAGGTGCTTGGCAGGACAGAGAAACAGAGCAAGGAAGGACACAAGAGGGCAGCAGAGGACAACAAATGGATAACTAAGGAAAACAGGAACAATCAGACCAGGACCCTGACAGTTTCTAAGTATAAATCAGCCTTTAGTCATTATTCCCCCAATAAATGAAACAAGTCGTCATTTATCATTTTCTAGAGAGTAATAATAAAAGGAGTTCCAGTTCCAGGCGAGCCGAGTATGTGGTGACGTCACAAGTATGCTTCTGTTCCATTTGACACAGATTTGTTCCCGTCCACCCATTTAGTCTTGTTCAGTGACATGTTGATTTTCTTTGCTTTGATTTATCATTTCGAAATGACGCCAAGTCATTTAGGTCTGCCAAATAAGATCTGAACTAGTTTGGTTACATTGCAGACTTCCTGACCACCCTTTCCTGTCGGTTCATCAGATAAAACAACTGTGTCAGAAGCAGCCCTTACTGTAGATCCCGTAAAACCAGACAAGTTGATGTCACTCGCTTCTACCTCATACTGTCATACCTTAAAATCATATTTTTTTATATACTAAAATACTTAGTGAACTCTATGCATGCAACATGTTTTAGCAGCACATCAGGTGGTTTCCTCCTACAGTTTTTTTTCTCTTTTGTTTGATCTGATAAGCTTTTACAGAAGTAGCAAGGCATCCTACCTTTATAAAGGTAGATTATTATTTCACTCCATATGTAAAGATATATATAGTAGAATTCAAATTGCCCTAGATTTAAGAACTTGGTTTTATTTTATCTTTAGTATAAAGAGTTCAGGTTTGTTTGCTCACGTCTACCCCTCAGATGTTACTATCATGGATACATGGATCTGCAAGTCTCATAGTATAAAGAATTTGCTGTCTTATGGTATGTAAATACTGTAATACTGTAAAACAGAATGTACAGAATGTATATATTAGGGGTGGAACGGTTCACAAAATCCACGGTTCAGTTCGATTCATGGTTTCTGGTCACGGTTTTTGGTTCGATTCGATACATGTTGATTGTTACACCGAAATCCCATAAAAAATTATGACATTAATGAAAAAATCCCCCCAAAAATAATGGATTGTAATTATTTTAAATGATCCGCGGAAACCCTGGATCATTTCCGTATGTTTTGCTGCTTTGAATTTAATCATCTGGCGCATGCTCTCTAACCCCGCGGTTCTCAAAGTGTGTGGCTCGACCCACTGGTGGGGAATTGAGACGTGACAGGTGGGGCGCGCCAAGTTCCGGTGTGTGTGTGTGTGTGTGACTATAAATGTAGAATGTGTGAGAGCAAACTGTCCTTATAGCTGTATGTTGCCGCTTTTTAGACCAATCAAACCCACAAAGTAATCATTACTAGCCTACATGCAGTCTAATTAAAAGAACATTAGATATGAGAAAAATTTCCCCTGGAACTGAAGTGCCAAAATAATGATTGACGTGACGTCGGCATATTATTTGTAACAGAATAAACTTTCGCGCCCCAGTGTTGCCAACTCAGCGACTTTGTCGCTATATTTCAGACCCCTCCAGCGACTCTTTTTCAAAAAAACAAATCTAGCGCCTTTTGGAGACTCTTACGTGAAAGCACGTATCATTCCTTTTCTTGTCCTCCAGCGGCAGGTGCTGCCGTGGGGCGCCTCCCCCGTCCCAACCCCGTTCTCCCCCGCTATTGCAGGAGTCCCCATCAGCGCTGCAGTCAGAGCAGAGACACAGCATGTTTAACTTTTGCGTCCAGACTGCAAATAAAGCGCACATGCGCCGGGATTGACGGCGCAGGTTGATCATAAATAACTGAATTTGAAATATTTTATCTTAAATAAATAACGGCGTTTGATTCACACAGCCACATGTTCATGTTTCTGGTTAGGAGTGGAGAGCGAGTATCCACTCATCGGGCAGAGAGCTGTGTGCATTCTTCTTCCCTTTGCCACATCATATCTCTGTGAGATGGGCTTTTCAGCTGCTGCTTCAATGAAAACAAAATACAGATCTCAGCTGAACATTGAGCATGACTTGAGAGTGGCAGTATCAAGCCTGCAACCCCGTTTTGAGAAACTGCAATGCAAAACAGGCTCATTGCAGCCACTAATGCAGGGATAAATAGACCTGTCTTGCCAGATGGATTTCACTTCTTTTCTTTTATTAACAGATTGCAGAGTGGCACTTTAATTTTTTCTATCTTTGAGCTTGATACAAATTTTGACACAGCTGCATTTTTATTTTCTTTATTTTTGAGCTTGCTGTTATTTGATGTAGATTTGTATTTAGATACTACTTGTTACTTCAATAAAATTGGAACATTTTAAGATTGTTGAATATTTCATTAGCATTGTGTTGGGGCGATGGGGACAGGCGGGGCTTGAAAATTCCCCCTTGTCCAAAGTGGGGAATGACAGAAAAAGTTTGAGAACCACTGCTCTAACCTGACAACAGCCAGATTACATGCTCTCTACTAGAGATGCACGATATATATCGGTCAGCTAAACTATCGGGCCGATTTGGGCTTATTTTCTATCGGCCCGATAGCCATATTTTCCCGATAAAAATAGCCGATAATTTAATAAAAACGCGGAAACTGCGTTCAAGAGTAACGACTTTTATTTTGAAGACACAAGCCATGACGCGCAGTGGCACGTCACATCCAATGCATGCAGCCAGTGAGTGGGGAAGTAGACAAACATGCCTTCACCAGTATGGTCGTTCTTCACAGTGGCAGAAAATGACAATGCTTTCGCTATATGCAACGCCTGTTCATTGCGGATTCCGAGAGGAGGAAAAAGGTCGTCAAGCTTTAACACAAGTAATCTTATATCTCACCTGAAAAGTCGGCCCCGCGGCGAAGAGGTATTAAAAGAGTATGAGGCAGCGGCTGCAGCCGCTAGCACAAGCAGTGAAACCAATGCGGTAACTAAAGGAAGAAAATCCGATGTTACCATTCTGCAGTCTTTTGAAAAAAGTAGACCCTTTGCGAGAGACAGTGAAAAGACCAAAGCCATTAACGGCAAAGTAATGGAGTTCATTGCACTCGGCGACCAGCCTTTCTCCGTGGTCGAAGAGCCATCTTTTCGTAGCCTGTTGGCACACTTGGAGCCACGCTACACTCTTCCAAGCCGCCGCTTTTTCTCAGACGTGTCCCTCCCTGCACTTTAGGATGTTGTTGCCACACACATCCACAGCCTAATCGACCAGAACGGACTACACATAAGTTTCACAACAGACATATGGACGTCCGATGTTAGCCCTGTTAGCATGCTAAGTCTAACAGCACAGTGGCTAGACGAGGACTTTAATTTGCAACAAGCCATGCTGCATGCTCAGGAGTGCCCCGGATCACATACTGCCGCAATGATATGTCAGGCGTTTGACACCATGCTTGCACACTGGAATATAACGAAAGACCAAGTGCATGTCGTGCTGAGGGACAACGCACGCAACATGATCAAGGCCATGGAGGAGTGTGGGCTTGCCAGTTTGGGCTGTGTAGCACACACGCTACAGTTAGCTGTGAACGAGGCTGTACTGAGCCAAAGAAGCATCGCAGACTGTGTCGCGATAAGCAGGAAGATAGTCGGACACTTTAAACACTCCAACGTCGCCACCTCCCGCCTACGAAACTTACAGAAACAACTTGGCATGAAAGAGGCAAGGCTTCAACAAGACGTGGCTACTCGTTGGAATTCAACCTTCTACATGCTGACCAGCTTGTTGCAGCAGAAACGAGCCCTGGCAGCATATGCCGTCGATTTCGACTTGCCTGCATTTCTGAGCCCAAATCAGTGGGCTTTAATCGAAAACATGCTAACAATTCTTGACCCGTGTGAGCAGCTGACAAAAAACATGAGCTCAGCTACAGCCACCGCAGCTGATGTGATCCCCTCCATTGAGGCCCTGAAACGTCTGTTAAACAAGACTGTTGCAACAGATCATGGAATCAAAACTTCAAAGAGTATGTTACTGCAAGCTGTTGAGCAGCGTTTCAGTCACATCTCGACAGAGTCCGTGTGCTTTCTGGCCACAGTGTTGGACCCCAGATATAAAGACTGCTTTTTTGACCAAGCAATAAAGAAGGAAGCAATGGAAGTCTTAACAGCCAAAATGAGATCACAGACAGAAAATGAGCCAGAGCCACATGAGAAGAGAACCAGGACAGATGACAACAACAACAATACTTCCCTGCAGAAAATGTATGAAGAAATCCTTCACGAAAATGCCACAAACGAGCTGAACCACAGCCAAGCTGATCAGCAGGTAATTGATTTGTTGTTTATATAAAGCTTTGGGCTATCTGATAAAAAAATGTTATATTATGTTAAATATGCTATGTATAACATTAAATATAATTTTGTTTTTGTTTTTTGTTATTCTTCTATTACCTTAGATTCAAGCCTATCTCTCAGAGCCCACAATTCCTCGATCCGAGAGCCCCTTGGACTACTGGAGAAGCAACAAAATCCGGTTCCCACAACTTGCCCTCCTCGCACGGAAGTATCTGTCCTCTCCTTGTACAAGTGTGGACAGTGAACGTTTATTTTCTGCTGCTGCAAATGTTATTGGTGAAAAACGAAACCGACTTGGATGTGAGAAAGCAGAGATGCTTCTCTTTGTTAAGAAAAATCTCCCACTGGTGCCCTCCCCCAGAATATAGAAAATATAATGCAGATAATTTGACAGTGACAAGTTTGGGGGGAGGTTAGGATAGGAAATGTTGAGAAGAGAAAAATCTTTGAAGTTGAAGTTTTGAAGAATTTAAGCATTTTATTTTTGAAACAGATTTAAATATTTACGTCCCTAAGGGATGTACGTTTTGTTAAAATTAAGAGGCACATTTTATGCTTATTGTTGTTAGAACTTTTGCTATACGTTTTATGATGGCATATGACCACATGTAATGACATGAAACAGTGACAAGATTGGGGAGTGGTTAGCAAAGGACATGTTAAGAGGAAATCATTTAACTTTTAAGTTGAAATTGTAAGCATTTTTTTATCTAAATGACAAGCTTTAATGGTTTTCAGAATGCACTTTACTTTATTACATACCTCCATAAGAGATGCACTTTTTTTGTTAAATTATGATGCATGTTTGATGCATATCTGTGTCTTGCTACATGTTTTATAGCAGATTACCTTATTTTTTTGGTGAAATGAAAAATAAACATTTGCAGTGTCCCAAAGTTGTTATTTTTTGTTATAGATAGGTCAAATCAGCTAATTCATCAGTTATCTATACTGCACAAAGTAGATTATATCAATATATTATGTTAATGTTGTGTTAATAAGAAAATTAAATAAAATTTTAACATATCGGTATCGGTATCTGTATCGGCCCTGAGAAGCAGGAAATTATCGGTTATCGGTATCGGTTGAAATTTTTAATATCGTGCATCACTACTCTCTACCATCTCCAAGGAACTCAGAGGGGAGCAGACGAAGCCACAGTGGGGGCTGTAGGCTTTGCTTTGAGCAGCCGGTCTGGAGCGCAGCGGGGCGGAGCGGGGGTTGCTGACGGAGTATGAGGGATTTCGGGGTTAGCATGGCATGTTGCTGTTAGCATAAACAAAACGTGTTGCACAATGCTTGCACACTGTTGCACTTTTATCCCCAGCTTTCTTTCCGCCGTCATCGTAGGTCACTCTAAATGCAAAGCGCTCCCATACAGCAGACCTATAAAGTGCTGCTGGCGCGTCTTCCAGCTCCAGTTCTTTCCCACTCGCCAGTCCGACACAATTCTCCACAACAACTGATTTTTCCCTGCTACACCCGGCTAAGCTGCTTCGCTTCTTCTTCTTGTTTACTACTGGCGGTTGGCTTTGGTCGCAGTACCGCCACCTTCTGCTCTGGAGTGTAATCGCTTCCTCAATGAGAAAAAGGAGCAGCGCATGAACCGAACGAAACACACACAAACCGAACCGAGACAGTCGAACCGAACGATTCTGACGGTTTTCATAAATCGTCCCATCCCTAGTATATATACAGAATATAGTTATTGCTTTTACTTTTTTCTTATGTTGTATCATGTCTCTATTCTCATACAACTGAAGTTAATGAAGTAGTTCTATCTTAGTGACAGTATAATTTCAAAAATATTTTACATCTAGCAATCTTTATAAACAACAAATGATATAATAATTATATTAAAAAAGGTCAAGTATTGGTGGATGATGGAGCAAAAGTTTTCAAATAAGAGGCGTGCAAGGGACTGAGCCAAAAGATAAATACAAAAAATCACAGAGAAGTTCGAGCAAAACATGACAGATTTATTAAAAAAAGGAGATCTGCACAGTGAACATAAATCTGGGACCAAAAAAAAAAAGCCGGGCATACACTGTGCGATTTTTTTCAATCGTTGCACGCAGCTACAGCTTTACGACGAAACCGCAGGGTTTCCTTGTACAGTGTGAGTTCACAGCTCGTGATGTATGTTCTCATACTGTGGGCCCTGATGCTCTGATGCGATCTACCCCTGCTCATACTGTACGAATCCGACCTGGCCATTGACACACAGGACGCATTTGAAAAGATCAGATTCGTATCGGATTCAGGACCACATAGCCAAGTGGTCTGGGTCATATTGGAAAAAATCGGATCTGTGTTGTTCAGACAGCCATGAAAAGATCAGATCCAGGTCACATATGGGCCAAAAAATCAGATTTGGATCACTTCAGGCTGCAGTATGAATGTAGCCTAAGTGCCACTATGATTCTTTGCAGCTGGGACTCTTGCTTCACTGGCCCAGCGGAGCCCACATGGCAGCCTCCCAAGAACTGGCAACTCTAAATGAAAGTAGTAGTTTAAAGTAAACCATACAAGTAAAATGTGGCAAAATGAGTCAACCAAATGTCTTAACCAATGGCAAATAATATAAGTGAAAAGGAAAAAAACAATATGGTAAACAAATTTAGCGTGATACTATATGCTGCCATCAGAAGGACAATTCCAGCGTCCCATCCAGTGAGGACTGCTGCACGGCACATTTTGCAAGGGAAGATTGTTCTTTCCCCTCTGCTCTTCTCCCTGTAACCAACAGCAGCACCTGCACTGACCAGTCCTCTACAAGCTCCTGAACTTTACAGATGACACCACCCTCAATGAGGTCATTCATTAGGGAGGATGAGTCTTCCCACAGGTGTTAGATTGATCATTTTTGGTGCTCTGTTATTGTTTGCTGGTCTGTAATTGTAGATTTTTGAAAGAAAAAAATCCCAAATCTTATAAATTTAATCAAATTTGACCCAATTCCATATTGTTATATATTTCCAGGATCTTCCTCTGTTAAAAAATTACTCTTTTTCCTGTATTCTTGTAATATTTCTATACAACTAGCATTTGGTTGTTCAAAATTACACATTTCCTAATTTAATTGTCAACTTTATGTCTGCAAGTCTGAGCAAAACACATTATCTAAAAGCTAATTCCTCCAATGTCTGAAGCACTATGAGGCAATAAAGCTCTATGATTCTGATTCTAAGGCGCTGCTTTAATGCTGCTAGAGGGATAAACCTGAAACCCAGAGAGCACAGAGGATGTACTCTAAGAGCTGAGGTTTGAAATTTGGGCTATGACATAGTTTTCTAAAAAGCCTGGTTTTGGTTATCTACATAAACATCAAAAATGTCATGATTTTATCTAAAGCTCTGACCCACATGCAGAAGACCACACAGAGAGACCAGGGAAAAGTTTAACAGGTTTTATTGAGAGTAGGTTGAGAGGAGTCCAGTGCTGCTCTGAACACTGTCGAACCGGGACTGAAAAGTGAAGGTGAAGATTCTGCGGTTAGTCCAGGCTCAGTGGGAAATTTGTGTCTTTGATCTGAAGAAAAGAATTAAGGCAACAGGACTCACGTTTCCAGAAAAAGGTGTCTCTTGTTGAATCCAGTCGGTGTGGGTTGTTCCAGTAATCGATTTGCTCGTTGGAGGGCGTACAGGGTTTACCCAGGTTGCGGTGTTTTCTTGAGGAATGGAGGAGCTGACTGCTACTTAGTTTTCCTGCGGTACTTGAACGGTTTCTTGTGGAGATGAATCCCCTGCTCAGAGAGTCGCTCAAATAATCCTTGGGGAAAAGTAGATCCAAACTACTAGCTTGAATCCTCAGCTCAGTTTGATGCTCAGAGAATCCTTCCAGGGGAGAGAAGATCCATAACATCCAGTTTGCAGGATGACTTCCTGCTGAGAAGCAAAGACAAAATAGCAAGGTTAAAACTTAGGTTGACAAAAACTCAGTTTGACTCAGCAAAACTCAGCTTGGCTAGAGTACCCAAAACTTGCAAACACTCTGGTGTTGAGGTAGGGGCAGTCAGCAGCTTAAGAGTCCTCTGGTAATGAGGTAACCATCTGCAGGTGTGTGAGGAGGCAAACGAGAACCAGGCGCCGCCTGTTGGTGGAGGGAAGACAAGCAAAAGCACAACCCACACAAACTGGATTCCTAACACCAAAGATGGCATTTTGAAGCAGTTTAACCATTTTGCAGATTTGAAGATTTTCTTCATTCTGCTCCTTTTCGTTCAGTTACTTTAAGTTGTGTTCTGATCTGATTTTTGTAATGAATTAAATAAATGTATTTGAATAAATATAATCTGTTATATGGATTCACGGCTTGAAATCATAACAACACTGTGGACACTAAAATATTCTTTTTATTTCGCTCATCTCTAGTTTCATAGTGCTTAAACTCTAAATCTGAATTAAAAATATTTTTTTTAACTCAAAGAAGTCAGTCGTCTGCTGATCTTTGGTAGATGTTCTTCTTAACGTCTCCAAAGAGCACAGCTCTATGAGAGGAGCATGAGAACATTTTTTCACTTTTACCTAAATAAACTCAATAACAACTAATCACCCTCACAAATACCACTATACTCTAAATATCTCACAAAAATAGCTTTAAGCTCTCCTACATATATAACCAAACCACTTTAAATATACTATTAAACTCCTTCTCATGTGCTATCAAACTTTCTTATTTATACTATGACAATCTCTAAAATATTCGGTTAAACTTGTAATTTCTTACCTAAGTAGATTGTGGTAGTTAATTACAAAACTAGTCTTACAAGCTGTTTTTCGAATTGCTTTGGTCAACACATTGCATTTTTCACAAAAAGCTGGTAAAGATGAGGGAGTAAGATTTTCTTTTACAGTACATAAATAACCATGTAATAACATGGTAATAACATAGCAAGTCACACTATATTACTTTGGTAAATTATTTGGTAATTACTGCAAAATTAATGTACAATATTTTACAGTAATTACCAGCATTTAATTACTACAACTGTATGTAACAATGGAGACTTTTGGTGGATAATTACCATTAGGTTACCACATAAAAGTTTCTATTATTGGCCACCACCTACCAATTTTTATGAAGCAGAAATTTCTTACGTGAAGATATTTTATTTTTTTAATTTTGCTTTGACATTTGGAGTGATTGTATTGTTAAATCAATGTTAATCGACTTTATTTTTTATATAGCCTAAAGCAATTATGCATATTTATCAATAAAACTAGAAAACAAGGAGCAAAGTAAAGCACAACATAACCAAAACCATAACAAGAAGCTTTTGAATGAAGACAATACATTTTGGGAGTTTAAAAGTATATATAAAATAGTTTGGTAATATATGTAAGAAAGTTTGATGGTTTGTGAGAAATTAAACTTATGATGTCTTTTGTGAAAGGGTTTGGTTGACTTCATGCAAGTGCATCGTTGTGATTCGATTAGAGTTTATATAGGCATGCAAGAGAAACTGAACATTTTGTCTCATGGGGCCTCTAACAGAGCTCCTGCTCCATACAGACTCAAATTCTGTTAATGATCATTCATCCTGGGCTTTGGAGATCGATTTTTAACCTGTATGTCAGAACATAAACACTGCAAACATAACCTTTATATTTACTTTAAAGCCTAAAAAAAAAGCTTGGTACTTTCTTTCCCTCTCTCTGTGGAGATGTTAAAAAATCTGCTTCCTTTAATGAAATACTAAGTTTATTGGATCTTCTCAATTTATTTAAATGAAAACTCTTTGAAACACTTTGTTAAAGATAGGCTTGGTGTATGCACGTTGAAGCTTTCTCTTTCTTTAGTTCTTTTTCCTGAAAAGAAATCACTCGGGAAAAACTCTAATAACACTTCATAACTTATATGTATTGAATAACACGGACACATGACAACAGATTTTTATAGAAATTGTAATCTGACTCAGATCAGAGAAGTTGCTTAGGTTTTTTTTACAGAAGGCAGCTGCATACCCCCGGGCTCACTTCTCGGGAAGTGGCCCCGATTACTAGGTAAAGAAGCATTTTATACATCTCCAGTCTGCCACATCATCATATTTTACATCATACACGTTTGTAGATGATCAGCCTTATTAAATTATTACAGGTACACTTTATTCTTAGCTGAAGGATACCGCTCATTCCATTCCTAAATATTTGCCACATACAGAATGAAGATTATGTGCATACTATATATCCGGACAGAAGACTGTCTTAATTAGATATCATACCGAGGAAAACATCAGTTCTGTCACGCAACAGGCAGCTAATATTAAAGACCCATGGAAATCTTATTAAAAATTATTGCCAAATCATTCTGGCTTAAACATGTATATAAATGTACTCTTTATCAAACCATATTGTCCCAAAATTTCGAAAATTTCTATCTAAAAAAAATAAATCATGTCTTAAAATCTGTTTTTTTTTTTTCCTTTTCGTTATCTTATGCAGACCAGTTAGTTATATTTCAGCTTGTGCACCTAAATTCAGTCATAGCATCTTCATTCATATGTCACAGCTTTACCATTGAGTTCCATCCCAGTGTTCACGGGGATGGACGTCTGTGTCTTCGGCAGGCGTAGAGCTAACAGAACTGGCAGCGTTGCGAGGCAAGGGCTCAAACATGTACGGATGTAAGCCTTCTACATTAAACCAAGCTTCTGCCGCCCTGGCGTCCTCTTCCACAACATCTTCATCCAATTACGTTCACCTTATTCACTCGTATAAAGTCGTGCACCACTCAGGAGAATTCGGAAATGCACCGGTTGGAACAGCCGCTTCCCTATGACTGTAAAATGTAATAAACTCCCTCATCATCGATGATAATTATCCTACCAACTGTGATATTCGGCCTCAGTGGGGGAGTTTTAAATGTGAACAAAAACAATAAAGCAAAGTAAATATTGGAAGATAAAGTATATCAAATGTTAGAGTAGAAATATTTAGCATATGTGAACTAAGCCCCACCTTAAGTTCAGGGTCAGTTCAAAAGCACTACGTCTCTGGCAAAGCTGTTTTTAAGATCTACCCCAAAAAACTCCCCCTAGGGCCTAAAACCGTCCTTATAACAGAGATTCACCTTTATTCCTCTTTCTTTTAAAGAATATCCAATAAAATTAAGCTGCGTAAACATATTTAGATAATTCAGATAGTTTTGCAGAGTAGAATTAGACGAGGATGGTTAGAGAACATGTTGGAAAGTTTAACAGCATTTCACAGATGGTTTTTGTTTTGTAGGAACAACTTGGATGCAGGAAATTCTTCCCCTGACCATAAGTGGCGGGGATACCATCCTCTGTTGAGACTCTGCCCAACTGGGACCGTGTTCCCTGGCTGGAGGAGACCCGGGCCTCCAATCTAAACCTGGAGGAGAGGACGTCTCCCCGCATGCTCACAACGCACCTCCACTACAGCATGATGCCGCCGTCGTTTTTTCAAGTAAAACCAAAGGTAACCCTAACAAAGTGTGACCCTTAAGCCCCTTGAATCATATTCGGGTTCTAAAAAAAACACATTTCATTTTTTTGACAAGATAAAAACCTCCTATTTTACAAGTTTTATAATAACTTTGCCTGTTACTTTACACACCTGTTTCCTGAATAAAGATCTAAGTCTATGCTAATCTTGAACCAGCAGGTCTCTTTTCTTAGTAGTTAGTTTTCAGATTCATGCATCTTGTATTTTTTTGTCTGAACTAAAGTGCTTCAAGTTGTTTTTTTCAGAGAATTTGAAGGTGAAGGTAAAACTAAGTGGCTTAATGTTTTTGGGTAGAGCATATTTACAGTCAAGAAGGATCTTTCAATATGAAGTTAAAGAAGTGTATGTACTTTTTGTGCAGTTTTGTCTAAATAACTGCTCAGACTAGCAAATGGAAAATTAGCACATTTTATTTGTTGGTGAATTTTTCTTGGTTTGGTTATTTTTTAGTTACAAAATACAAATTTTCCGTGAAAAAATAAACAAAAAAGTAAGAAGCTCACATGCCCAAATCTAAATTTAGAGTACTTCAAAATGTGCTTTAGATATTAAAGAAAATACTAAAAGACCTACACCCAAGATACATATCCATTCAGTTAAATATGACTGGCTAAGATATGTTCAAACATTTTATTTTAAAGAGAAATAATGAATGATAATTTCAGTTTCACCAGAGCTACAGAGAGGACTCCTGGTGGATATTGTGATTCTCTTCTCAGTTATATATCCTATTATCACTGTTTTAGTTGGTTGCCCCCAATTTATTTGGTAACCAGCAGGCTTTGCTATAAACATCTTTAAGTTTGCAGGAAAATAAAACATTATAAACAAAACGCAAACTTTAAAGGTATAGTGGAGGATGTACTTTTTCTGGGTGGAGCATCAAAATAAGCAGTCCACCTAATTGTCAATCATTCTGGTGATGTGTGTATGTAACGCCGTCCTACATGCTCCTCCCTATTTTCACTGGTGAGTCTGACATAGTGGAAAAAATGCAAATCTTGTTTTGGAAAGTAAGCTTGTATGAGCGATGCAAACAGCAACTTTGAAATAGAGCGTGCTTGAGGAGAAATGGGCTCTTTCATGCTCTCTCACACGTTTAATAGGCTTTCCCTGAGAAGCAAGTGTGGCTATAGGGTTTTAAGTGGAGAGGGTGGGTCTTTTCAAAAATTTCCAAAAATCTACCTTAAGTAGTGTCAGTCGGAACATATTTTCCAATTGCGGAGCAAAGCTAGTGTTCTTAAATGTAATGTCATACTGTCTTTGCAGGTGATCTACGTCATGAGGAACCCCAAAGATGTGTTTACCTCTTCCTATCACTATTACAACATCACCTCTTTCTTGGTGAAACCAGGTCCTAAGAGCGAGTTTCTCCAAAAGTTTCTTGATGGAAAAGGTATCTAGCATGCTCTGTTTATTTCTTAAGGCCAGAACACACCGGTTGCATGTGACAGAGGTCTTCAACAGGGGTCCGCGACCCCTAGGGGGTCTGTGGAGGGACTGCATGGGGGTCTCAAAAGTTTTGGTTGATTATATTTGATTATATATATTTTTTTTATATTCCCACCTGCAATTTTTTCCACTAATTGAAATGTCTTTAAATCCACATTAACATGAATTCAACACACTGTAGTAAACAGATAAGTGGAGGCAGAAGATGTCTTTCAGTCATGAATGCACACATTCAGCGACACACAGGAGCTCTTTCAACCGTTTCATTCACAACACCTGTCCCATCAACCAGGAATCAGAATCAGAAATACTTTAATAATCCCAGGGAGAAATTACTTTCATTACATGACTCCATCTGTAATAGAGTGACTATAGGACCAGTTTAATATAACACAATTTCATACAATATACAAATAGGGGGTCCCTGCTCCATCTCCCCATCAGTTTGGGGGTCGTTGGCCTGGAAAACGTTGAAGACCCTTGGCGTACGACTTTTTAATCTCCGATCCAATTTTTTTCCACCTCAAACTGACTGCATAGAGAGGGTGAGCAGATCTGCACAGATGTTTTTTTTGCTTCTGTCTATGTGCTATACACGCATTCAATAAAGCAAAGCCCCACTGTGCAGCATCTCAAACCAGATCAGATAGAGAATGTTTATATGTCTATATTAAAAACACAATAAGATCTGCGTCTAAAGAAAGAAAAACAACAATAAATGAGGCAGAGAGAGGTGACTCTCAGAAAGAGATCTGTTGAGTATTTTAAAGCTTTTCTTTCTTTTTTCTCATGAAAAGGTGAGAGAGATACTCCGCGCTTAAGCACTTTGTCATACCCTCGTTTTTGTTTGGGTTTTTTTTGTGAGGCTCAAACAGGATATGTCCATTTTTTTAACTCCTCGTGAAGTTATTTTTTTAGATTGATAAACTGCGCTTTTTTGTCCCTTGTTGTTTTTGTAAGGCTCAAAGAGGATCACCACTTTTACTCCTATCGTGGCTAAAATATTAGTTTTTTAATGTTTCATTCATTGTTTTTGCACGAGTCTGTCCCGCTTGCTATATATGCTCCTGCTGCACTACTAAAAGTGAAATTTCCCTGTGCAATTGTTAGATTTTAGTTAGTATTTTCCCACAAAGCGGATGTGTTTTACTTTATAACCTCTTCCTATCAGACCCATGTAATTACAACTGAATTGCTGTGTAGTCTGACTAAAATGGACCTGGGGTCTATCTCAGTCTGACCTATGCAAGCCCATTGCGTAAAATCGTGTTAACTGTGATCATCCCCATTGGCTTTCAATGAGAGCTAAACGCCACAACCTCATCTGACATGAATTTCCGTCGGATCGGAAACAATATCGGATTCAGTGTGTTCTGGGCTTTATAGAATTCAACAACAGGCTTTAAATCTCAGCTGTATTTTAAATACTAAAGTAAAAATATTGGTAATGAGAAAAAAAAAGTCAAACTGTTCTTTTTTTCAGTTATATTTGGTTCCTGGTTTGATCATGTTAAAGGCTGGCTGAACGCTGAAGAGAAGCAGCATATCATGTACATCTCCTACGAGGAGATGATAAAGGTGATTGCTACATGTTTTTGAATTTTTTCATTCATACAGAAGTCAGGAAACATACAGTGAAACTCTCGCCAAGCTCTAACAATGCACTGCATTGTGCTTTCCTGTGCAGCAGGACCTGAATGACTCTGTGAGCCGAATCGCACGGTTCCTGGGAAAAAATTTGAATCCTGAAGTAATTAAGAAGATAGCTGACAAGTGTTTATTTGAAAACATGAAAAACAACCCCATGTCCAACTACTCAGTGGTGCCTCAGGAGTTCATGGACCAAACAAAGTGCCAGTTCCTTCGTAAAGGTAGGTTTTAGTAACGGATTATTGGGAATCAAAAGCTTTTTGGGTTTAGAATAACATTTTTCTTCCACTCCAGTAAACTCACCTTTTATTATTTTTACAATAATCCAGTACTAACATACATCAGCAGTTAATGATGATGCATTTTTTTTTTTTTATTGTATTTATTAAGAACATATATTGTACTCATACCTACCAGAGGAGGACAGTTGTGTCAGTCACACCTAGTCCAGGACAAAGTGGGGTTTATTTAGTTGTTCAATGCAAGACGGATTATAATGTTTCTCAGGAAACTGCTCCATTTCTTCTATGCAAAAGACAATCACAGGCTTTAAGCTGTAGACATCAACCTTTGGTTGCTTTAACCTTTAGACAGCCCTCTGTGCCTCTGCTCTGATGGCGCTTAAAACCACAGCTGTTTCCTTCAGAAAGATGCTGTGTATCTTATCTAGATTAACTTTTATTAGGACAGATCCAATCGCAATTGCAATGTTTCAAATTTGTACTAAATTGACGTGCTGCATTTCATGTGTGTCCATCACTGCACCTGCAGGATAAGGGTAGAGGTGGACAGAATCGGCATCCTGCTTTAGAACATTAAATTTAAAAGATGTTCTAACCATAAAATGTTGAAATAAAATCCAAACATGACAAACCACCAAAAGTCTGTATGTAAGAGCAATTGAGACTGCAGCATGTATGGAAAGAGAAAAATAGCCACACATTAATTCACATCAACATTTCCAGAGTAACTTGAGTAATTTGCATCGAATTCATAAAAATATCTTTATCCTTAAGAAATTAGCAATTAAATAATATTTTTAAGTTAATATACAATTTTTACTTCATGGCCTGATAAATTCATTTTATCTTCCTGCAATGGAAATCATTCTTTATGATTTGAATTGTTGAGGTGACCCAGAGCTAACTTTAATCATGTGCTTCTTTATAAAAAATATACATTTAAAAATGTTGCGTTTTATGCATGATTTAACCAAATATTTGATTCTATTTAATTAAGATAAAAATTTTGAATTTTTGGAATATTTTGGGGAAAAAAATCAAAGGTTACAGGAAGGAGCCCATATCCAGATCTCTTCTGCTGGGTCCAGCCCAGGGTTATAGTCGGTGTATTTCAGCATAGTGAGCCACAATGCTTAGCTTTGTTCCCGCTAGAATAAAATTCAGGCCACTATGTTCTTTTTTTATACGTAATTGACCCTTTGACATACTTCTGGGCTTCCTTCCCCAAGGCTCTCTCCAGCACCTTTCAGCACAAACACTGGGTACACTGAAAGTTTTCAAAGTTATGCTGAATTCAGGCCGCTTCACTGACTTTTAATGAGCGCATTGGTTGGTGAAACAGTTTTTAAATAAATGCACCTCCTTATTTTCACATATGTGAGAAAAAAAACAGTGGTGTCAAAAGTACACACATTTGTTACTTCAGTAGAAGTATAGATACTGCAGTTTAAAAACACTCTGGTAAAAGTTGAAGTATCAACTTGACCTCTTTACTCAATTAAAAGTGAAAAAGTAAATTGGAGACTGTAAACAGCACTACAAGGATTCCAGAGAGTGTATAATAGGTGTGTGAATTATTTGATCAAGGAGTTGAGTCCATTGGCAGAAATTGGGGGCCCCAAAAATCTAATTTTACTTAAGGGCCTCATGGAGGCTTAGGCCAGCCCTAAATAGAGCTTTATGAATTTTATGGGTTTTAAAGGGATTATTTTTTTTATTTGTTTCAGAAATTATATAAATATCCACTTTAAGTGTATTAACACAAAACAGACTGGTTACACTTGTTTGCGAAAAATTAATTATGATGTTGATGTAAAGAAAGTTGTAAAAATTTGAGTAAACCTCAGAAACACTTTCTTTTTTCTGTGATTTTTTCTTTATTGGTGTTCAAATATTTTCTCAAAAGGATTTGATACATTTAGATGCTCTTTTAAGATAAAAATGTGTTGCATGAACTTTCCTCTTAATAAGGACTTCTCGTTTGTTTCATTACAGGGGTTGTTGGAGACTGGAAGAATCTGCTCACTCCAGAAGAGGCAAAGCATTTTGATGCAGTATTCAAAGAAAAAATGAAAGACGTGAAATATAAATTTGCTTGGGATTAAATGCTGATGATGCAAGTTATTTTTAGCTTTGCATACAACTTATGATCTTCTTAGAGCAATAACTAAAATATACCATGAAAAAACCCCAAAGACTAAAATTCAGACCTCCTTTTTTGACTTTGTTCAGTTACAAACAAAATACAGAACCTCAGTGCTTTGATCCATTAAGTCTTTTTACTTGAATCTAGGAAAAAAAAACTTTTACCTCAACCGTGTTTAGTTAAAACAAATATTCCAAATATCTACCTTTTGTCTCGAGTGACGAGACTGAAATAAATCAATGTAAGCTATTACAATACATTCTTCGCTTTAGATACATTCTAACCTTATGAAAGCTGTTCTACCATAAACTGTCTGTAGTTTATATTATGACTTTCTAATTAAATGTAAATGATTATTTAACTAATATAACTGTTTATAGCACATTTTCAACAGTTTATAGGTTCAGTAGCCATATTGGTTGTTGGTTTGACTTTCCAGCTGGTTATTCCAGTGTGTTTTCCACTTGTTTATGCTACTTGTAACTCACATAATCTAAGTTTGGGGCACAAATGGACACATTAAGCCGGACATACACAGTTGCACAGTTGCATGCAGCTACAGCTCACACTGTACGACAAAGCTGCAGGGTTTTGTCGTAAAGTGTGAGTTCACAGCTCACTATCCATGTTCTCACACTGTGCGACCCGACGCTTTGATGCAATGTATCTGCTCACGTTGTACGTCTAAAAACCACGTCGGACTCCAACGCAGTGAGATGGCGCTACTCTGACTCGTCTATCTAGAAGCCAAACAAGCAGAAGAGGAATATGAAGTTCACTAGAGTGAAACGCACTGCCTTGGCGATTGTGTGCTGAAAGCCCTAAACAAAAAGGCGACAACATTTTTTGACAAAAACATGGCGGAGCAAACGTAGCTACTACGCTCTGTCAATTTTACTGAAAGAGCTCCATTTTAATTACACCCCATCCATTGTTTATATTAATCCTTGGTTTTAAAAAATGGCGCACCCCAGCACCGAATTGAGAAGGACGACCACACAGACAGCTGGAAAGGCATACCAACTACCAATCACAGCTGCTTTTTGTCTGTGCACTTCCGCTTGAGGTCTGCCTGGGTTTGCGACCGTCCGACGTTGCAGAACCTCTGTGCGGGGGGCATGGTCGTGCACAGAGAAAGATTTGACGGTTGCAGAGGCTATGCTTCAGAAGTATCAATTCAATTCAGTTTATTTCTATAGTGCCACAACATATGTCATCTCAAGGCACTTTAAAGTTAAACCAGATCATCCAGTCAAATTGATTCAAAGTTTTCTATCTAAGGAAAACCAGTTGATTGCATCGACTCATTGACTCAAATGCAATCCCTCAAACTAAGCATGCTTGTAGCGACAGTGGAGAGGAAAAACTCCCTTTTAACAGGAAGAAACCTCCAGCAGAACCAGGCTCAGTGTGAGCGGCCATCTGCCGAGGCTGACTGGGGTTCAAGGAGAGAGAAGCAGAGATACAAAAAGCAACTGTAAAAGGCGGCGGCGTCCAGGAAACACACAGCCAGGCAGACGAGCTCCGAGCCAGCTACAGTAACATAGGATGAAGAGAGCACATCCAGCCAGTTACAGTCAGAGAAACAGGACTACACTTATACAGAAGTACAAGTTGGCCTTTAAGAACCAAAGCCAGTGAAACCGCATTACAGAAGTCTTGGTGATGGTTGTCGTGTGATGCTTGAAGATAGATTGTTTTTCACACTTGAGAGGCACGCATTTGAATGCTCCCCTATTTATTTATTTTTTTGAGGCGGAAAAATGTCAGGGCCGAAAATCGTTCCCAGTCCGAGTCTGCATAAGGGTCTCTAAAGTATTTACTTTTCCAACCAGAACTAAGATATAACAGAAGTGAATTGTTGGCAAAGTGAAGCAATCCTCTGAGTGGCAGAATAGTTATAGATGGCATTTTTGCATGAGAATCAAATTGAGTTGTACTTTTATACTTTTTTCTTGACAGACTCTGTCACTGGGCCAGAGCATAAGTGTGACAGAGCTCAGTTAGATGAGAAAGGTGAGATTTCAATCTTCACACATATATTTAAGGACATGTGAGTGGGATGTCTTCAGTGTTTATTTTTACAGCTGGTCTTTGGAGGACAAAGAAGACATAGCTAACCTTTATTCTCTTGATTCTTGTGGGACAATAGAAAATAGCTATAGTACAGTTTAAATGACAGCTTCTGCCGTTAGGATGTACATGATGTGTCAGTTACCACCTGATGAGAAGGATTTTCTTTGGTGCTCTGCAAAATAGTTGAGACAAACTAGCTTTCAGTATTTGAAGTCCACAACCTAAACTAAACAGAAACATCAGGAGACAAGTCTTGAGCAGCAATGACCTTTTAACAAACCTTTAGTTATTACTGCTTTCCTGTTACTAAGCACTTTACATACAGCAGTAAAATGAGGAAGTGATGTAACATACAGAAACAAACAGTTTTCGTATGATTTCCTGCTGTCAAAATCTTAATGTGCACACAGTGTCGAGAGATAACCGCATAGTTTCATGTTTATTTTATTCTGTTTCACTGTAGTTATTTTTTTTAATGCTTGGCTTTAGATTTTGGATTTTTTTTTTTGTTAATTTTTTTAGTAACTTATAAACATGTTTGGTTACTCTTTTAATTTCTAAATCTTTCTCTTTTCATTATGGTTGATTCATTATGGTTGATTCTGTAGAAAATAAAAGCTGTTGAACTGCATCTGTGCGAATTGACTCTGTGTCAAATTAACCGAGTTTCAATAGACTTTGGTTTTATTCACTTTGCTGACTTTTATTTTGAATTTTTTTTGTATTAACTAATGATTACCATGCAGCAACATCGAGAGGCAATAAGATTGTTACGCTGACCCCTTTCTTAATTAGTTCAGCTGTACTTTTTTGTCTTTTTATCATAAGTTGTTTTAATGTTAGTTCTCGTATAAAAAATTTTTTTTAAATAATGAACTGAGTATGGCTTTCTGTGAAACAAATTAGACTGCAGCTGACCCCCACCTATCTGGGACATGAACTGTTCAGACTTTTCCCTTGATAGATTTCTAAAATGTTATGTCAATTTGCACCAAATCAAATTCTCATGCAAAACACTCTCTTTCTGTTAATGCTTGTTCTGATTTATATTTTCTGTTAAATGGTGGACAAGATCTTGGTTTCTACTGTTGGGGCTGCATGTCAGATGATTGAAAATAATGTATAATGTACTATATATCCCTTTTTGTGCACTGATCAAGCAGCAAAAGCAATCCAGATGACATTTTTATAGAGCAGAAAGATTAAGGTAGAACCTTCCAATAGTTTGTTTGCGCAGAAAAGTTCCAGACAATGTCTAAATTCAACATTCTCTCTTTGAACATCATGTATTCAATGTCCACCCTGGGGCATCATCATATGATCAATTGAGTAAATATTAAATGGAATAACTTTCCTTACCCAATAGGACAAACATAAAGATGTTATTAAAGGCTAGAACAGAGCGAATCCGATTTTACGTCTGATTTGACAGAAAATCGTGTCAGACGAGGTTGTGGTGTTTAAGCTAATTGAAAGTCAACGAAGATAATCACACCCAACACAATTTTACGCAAGGGTGCTTGGGTAACTCCGATTTAGATAAACCCCAGCAGGGGCGCATCAACCAGGTTGGAATGCGGTTGCATTTGTTACCCCCCAAAAAAGCCTTGCAACCCTGGCTGCTATTCCAAAAATCGAGAATCAGGCCATAGCAATTTGTACATTTCTGAGTGGAAAGTTCTGATGTCCAACCGAATTTAATGCAATACGGGGTAGCGCAATGGCGGCCAAGGTACTGCTTTGTTTAAGCTTGGTTTATACTTCGAAGCGTCGCACAGGGCACAAGGGTACATGTGCCAAAGAAGGCAATCATGCTGTCCCGGGCCACCCGTGCGCAGACTGCGAGCACAGCTTCTGCACTAGGTCGCGGACCTCAGATTTTTTTGTAACCTGGCACAGACTGCCCCCCCAGCCTCGTTCCAAATCTGAGGATATAAGGTTGTTCTCCATGGACAACTTTGCCTGAACTGATTTGAAATGGTGCAAAAGCTTAAATGAAGTGATATTACTGTTCATTCAATGACTGAAAGCAGCATACAGGGGCGAGTTTATTGGCCAATAAACTTTTTGTGGTACATAAAAATAATTTTAGTCACATACGATACTATACAGTGCATTCAGCTTTTATTTAGTGAAACTATTTTTTTTAATATGTTATTAAAAAAAAGAAAGATCTGTACGGGCTTCACAGGGGGGCTGTTTCCCCTGTGCAGCAAGTAAATCTACCGTTTTATTCTACAAACCGGATTCCAAAAAACACTAAACAAATTGTGAATAAAAACTGAATGCAATGATGTGAAGATGGCAAATATCTATATTTTATTCGTAATAGAACATAGATGACGGCTCAAAAGTTTAATCTGAGTAAATGTAAAAATAAAAAATATGTTGATTCAAAATTTCAGTGTCTACAGATCCCAAAAAAGTTCGGATAAGTAGCAATAAGTGGCTGGGAAAAGGATATTGAGCATATAACGAACAGCTGGAAGACCAACTGACACTAATTAGGTCAATTGAAAACAGGATTGGGTATAAAAAGAGCCTCTCAGAGTGTCAGTGTCTCTCTGAAGCCAAGATGGTAAGAGGATCACCTATTCCACCATTGTTGCACAGATAGTGCAGCAATACCAGAATGGTGTTTCCCAGCGTAACACAGCAAAGACTTTTACGTTATCATCATCAACCGTGCATAACATCATCAAAAGATTCAAAAATCTGAAACAATCGCTGTGCGTAAGGGTCAAGGCCGTAAAACTATTGGATGCTCGTGATCTCCGGGCCCTTTAACGTCACTGCACCTCAAACAGGAATGCTAATGTCAAGGAAATAACAGAATGGGCTCATGAATACTTCCAGAAAAGCATTGTCAGTGAACACAATCCGCCGTGCCTTCTGCCGTTGCCATCTGAAACTCTACAGTGCAAAGAGGAAGCCATTTCTAAGCAAGATCCACAAGCTCAGCTGTTTGCACTTGGCCTGGGATCATTTAAAATGGAGTGAGGCAAAATGGAAGACTGTTCTGTGGTCAGATGAGTCACGATTTGAAGTTCTTTATGGAACACTGGGACGGCGTGTCATCCGGACCAGAGAGGACAAGGATAACCCAAGCTGTTATCAACGATCCGTTCAGAAACCTGCATCACTGATGGTATGGGGTTTCATGAGTGCTTGTGGCCTGGGCAGCTTGCATGTCTGGAAAGTCACCATAAATGCAGAGACCAAAGTTCAGGTTCTAGAACAACATATGCTTCCATCTAGACGTCATCTGTGTCAGGGAAGACCCTCCAATTTTCAACAAGATAATGCCAGACCACATTCTGCAGCAATCACAACTTCATGCCTAAGTGGGGGGAGGATCCGGGTACTGAAATGGCCAGCCTGCAGTCCAGATCTTTCACCTATAGAGAACATTTGGCGCATCATAAAGAGTAAGGTGTGACAAAGAAGGCCCAAGACGATTTAACAGTTAGAGGCCTGTATTAGACATGAATGGGAGAGCATTCATATTTCTAAACTTCAGAAACTGGTCTCCTCTGTCCCCAGACGTCTGTTGAGTGTTGTTAGAAGAAGGAGGGATGCCACACAATGGTTGAATTTGTTGACGCCATGAAATTTGGAAATAACATATTTTTCCCTTAAAATGATACATTCTCTCAGTTTAAACTTTTGATCTGCGATTTGTGTTCTATTCTGAATAAAATATTTGTTTTTGAGACTTCCACATCATTGCATTCAGTTTTTATTCACAATTTGTTTAGTGTCCCAACCTTTTTGGAATCTGGTTTGTACCGTATATCTTTGAGTAGCGCAATAATTAGCAATTCTTTAATAGACAATACTGTGCCTCTGCCAATTTGCAAGTGGGATAA